TACCTCTTCCATATTTTTATCGGAGTTCACGTGATAAACATAATATATGGACACCGTACATGTCCTGTACTTGAATGAGTCACTCAGTGGTACGCCAATCCGCCCTTTACAGGTCTTGTCCACTAACCTGTGAAGGTTGTTCCACATCGACGCCAGATATACATAAATAACTAGATTCCCTATGATTATTTTTAATAATATAAAAGATTAAAACTTTTATTCTAATAACGAAGGATTTTCTAACAATATACCGTACTTGTATAGTAAAATTACGAATATAAAATTAAACAAAAATTGCTAAAAAATGCATTAACGTATTTATCACCGTTTCTCGCGGAACCTCTAGCGACCTCTAGCGGAAAACCGGTTGAAAATAGTGTATAGTGAAGACACTATGCAATCATTTTCATTGGATTACTATTTCAAAACACGATTATATTTGCATATCTAAATGCTAGAAAAATTGTTTTAGGTAAGATAATGAATGTTTTCTTTAGCTTGTGTTAAGTTGTATATTGTAATAAATTCACTATTCTACATTTTCAATTTTTCTCCTTGTGAAAATTAAAAAAACAATATACTTGTAAGAGTGCAGAAATTCAGCTTGCTTGCGGTGCCAGCAATTCAAGGGCCGGCCCTGGCTATAGATCAGCGTGTCTCAATCTTTTTACCTCCTGTGGAACTCTTGAAATAGTTTTCATGTTTCACGAAAACCCTTACATAAAAATTATTATATACCGTTTTTATATATCTACCTCTTCCATATTTTTATCGGAGTTCACGTGATAAACATAATATATGGACACCGTACATGTCCTGTACTTGAATGAGTCACTCAGTGGTACGCCAATCCGCCCTTTACAGGTCTTGTCCACTAACCTGTGAAGGTTGTTCCACATCGACGCCAGATATACATAAATAACTAGATTCCCAATGATTATTTTTAATAATATAAAAGATTAAAACTTATTATAATAACGAAGGATTTTCTACCAATATACCGTACTTGTATAGTAAAATTACGAATATAAAATTGAACAAAAATTGCTAAAAAATGCATTAACGTATTTATCACCGTTTCTCGCGGAACCTCTAGCGACCTCTGGCGGAAAACCGGTTGAAAATAGTATATAATGAAGACACTATGCAATCCAAATCTGTGTGTTGCATTGAGAATAATGCTTACTATACCCATTACTGTGGCCATCAGAGAGAGAAACTTTAGTAAACTAAAGTTTATAAAAACATACTTGCGGTAGTCCATGACTAAAAACAGATTAAATTCTTTGGCTATTTTGTCAATAGAAAATGATCTTGTAAAGACGATAGGTGTAAAAATTGCCATGAAAAGATTTGCAGATCTAAAGACTAGAAAAATGTTTTAGTTAGGATAATGAATGTTTTCTTTAGCTTTCATTAAATTGTATTTTGTAGTAAACTTAATATTCTACATTTTCCGTTTTTCTTCTTGTGACAAGTTAAAAAAAAATATACATGTAATGGTGCCGAAGTTCAAACTGCCCGGAATATCATCAACACTAGGGCCAGCACATTAAAATATCAATGTCGTATATATTTTTCGTTAAAACAATTCAGTATACTAAATAGAATTAAACCGAAGTGAGGACATTGCATGTTTCTTCTAATTTCCGTTTTGAAACTCATTTTCAGAGAAAGGTGCTAACTAAATATTTGAAGAGGTTAATTAATCTATCATACTTTTCTGTTTGATATGACTTTTATTTTATTTCTCTATATATTAATATACTATGAAAAAAATATTGTCTTCCATTAAAAATGAGGAGAGAAAAATTATAAAATAATCAAATTATAAACAAATTTTATTTTGTGAACAAAACTGTTTTAAATTTTTAATTAAACACTACGATGACTCCCAAAGAACAAATATGGCCGATTTATCAAATACCATTTTTCAACAATTTTTATCAATACCTGCCTGCTTTGTGTTTTATTATCTATTGTGCTGAGTGAATGCAAATGCAAATGCAATCTTGTTGTTTCGGATAAGAAGACTTTTTAAGCTGGGTAAAAATTCATTACCCTTTTCTGACTTGAACTTTGTGTCATATAAGAATAAAGTGGAAGACAGATAGACCGAGAGGGTAAGACCTCCGAGTCTAGCTGAGTCGTGATACAGTCTTTGACGGTAAGCGACGTCTGTCGAACTCTCTGCGTTAGCAGAGAGGAACCCGGACGAAGCTTTGCCGAAGGGCAAGGTTTCGTCCGGGGAGGTAGACAGGGCCTGAACCCGTCTAGGCGGGTTCAAAGGCTATATTTTTGGCCGAGCCTACGGGCTCGGAGATACCCACATTAAACCGGCCTTGTGCCACATTCAATCCTCGTGGGTGGATCGATAAATACTAAGAATAAAGTGTCGCTGCAGACATTTGGGATCGAACACGGATGCCAGAAAGCAAGCACAGTCGACTTCATTTTGAAATAATTAGATCACGTGACGGGAAAAGGAAAAATATATAGACATTGGAATTAGCATTGTCTGGCCGAGTATTGCTATTAGGCAGTTGCGTCTCAGTTGCGGCATAGGGCGATCAGGGGTTTCTCTGTCAAAGGACAGAGGGTCAGCTGAGAAAATAATACCGAGAGGTGCCCAGCCCTGGGGAACAGCTGCCCGAGGCCGCGCCCTTCCATTGCACCAGCGGGAGGGATCGGTGCTCACACCTAGGCCAGCGCAAGCGACGGTTGCGGGGCTGTGGGGAATTTTTGACCCTGCTCGGGTGCACACGCTCGGGTCCCCACATTAATCCGACCTTGTGTCACATCTCATTCTCGTAGGGGAATGTGTAAACACCGTATTGCTATTAGGCAGTTGCGTCTCTGTCTTTGAGCAGAGTGCGCTCAGGGGCTTCTCTGTCAATGGACAGGTGGGCAAATGAGATTATTATATTGAAGAGGTGCCCAGCCCTGGGGAACAGCTGCCCAAGGCCGCGCCCTCCCATTGCACAAGAGGGAGGGTACGGTGCTCGCACCGAGGCCAACGCAACCGACGGTTGCGGTAGCGGTGGGGAAATTTTGTCCCTTGCCCGAGTGTACGCGCTTGGGCCCCCACTTTAAAAAGACCTTGTGTCATATCTTGTTCTGGTGGGGGAACGAGTAAACACCGAGTAGTGATATTAGGTTATTTAGATTTAGGTTAGTATAGGTTTCCGATTTCTGTCCTTATTTTTCTTTCTTTAGGTTAGATAGAGAATGTTTGCTAATTGTCCCCTTTTATTTCTGTCCCTATTTTTCTTTGGTTTAATTCCCCATCTCCTCCATTGTTAAGTGGTCACTGACATCAGTTCTTTGGTGGGTGCGGGGATGCTTTTCGTTTCAGGTGTTTTTTTCGTATTTGTTGTTGTGCCTGAATGAGTGCATGTTTCACTGAGTGATTGGTTGAATGAATGTTTTTGTATTATTGTTACGGTCCGGTTCCTTGTACCACGGTGATAGTCCAAGGTAGAACCAATAAAGAAGAACTCGAACACAGGTATGGAATAACACAGATATATTACAAACAGGAATATATACAGAGAAGTAGAAGTGTTAGTATGAACAATCAGGTTTAGTAGGGAGAACAATGTAGTCTCGACCAGTATCACTATTCCAATGTCTTGCAGTAATTGTCTGAACACGACTCTGTTTCGGGCTGCCTCTGACTCGACTTGAACTACAGACTATATTTAGTCACCCCCCCCCACACACGTGGGCATCATGTGGCACAAGGCCGGTTTAACGTGGGATCTCCGAGTCCGTGGGCTCGGCCAAAAATATGCCCATTGAACCCGTATAGACGGGTTCAGGGCCGGTTTACCTCCCCGAAAGAGACTCCGCCCTTCGGCGTAGCCTCCTTCGGGTTCCTCCCCGCTCGAAGGCAGAGTTCAACCGAGCAGCCGGTCGACCGAGACCGACTTGAACTACAGACTCTCGCCTACTGACTGAGGCGCAGTATTTATTAAGTATGGAATAGTCCATTATTATTATTATTATGGGTAAGATCCCATAAAAATTATTAATGCCCCACATTGATTTCGTCCAGTTAACTGATGTTTCTGCAACAGTTAGCCACTGTCGGGTTTTATTACTAACATTATTTTGTTTAGTTTCGTGTAAATAGTTTTGTACATCTTTGTAAATAGTCATTGGGGCAAAATTTTAAATTTGTTGTTTGATTCCCCTTGCCCCACAGACAACAAATTGTATATATGGGGTCTAGTTAAGACATTCATAGAGACAATGTGGTATTGTGGTGACTGTAGTATGAAAAGAAAGTAATAATGTGTTGTTTTGGTGTAAGGAATCTTGTTGTCTCTTTGGGTCAGTGTTTGTCGCTAGCTAAGTTTAAAGACAACAAATTGTACATATGGGATCCAGTTAAAACTTTCACAGAGACAATATGGTGTTGTGGTGGCTGTAGTATGAAAGGAAAGTGATAATGTGTTGTTTTGGTGTAAGGAATCTTGTCTGTTTGGGTCAGTGTTTGTGGCTAGATAAGTTTAAAGTTAAGACAGTTGAAGACCGTCTCTTTTCCTCATTCCCCCTTTTGGCCTTGTGCCACGTTTTGTATTTATATAAATAAATATCGTATTGTTCTTAGGCGTTACTATTGTTGTATCTGTGATTTACAAAGTCTCTCCTACAAACGGGCGTTACGTAACATTCATTCTAAATCTCTCGTATTATGCACATGAAAATATATTATGTTCAAACCGGGTAACTTCGTTCAGACTTTCTACTGTTGTGAGTCTTCCTAAATTACATCTATGTGACTCCCAATTCGCTTTGTCATGGATATACTAATACATATATTGAGGCAGCTGGGAATATTCTGTCTTTTCATTGGAAAATTAGCTGGATAATCCCAATTCTTCCTCAAAGTCATGCTTTTCATGTGAACTTCTCTCTTGTACTTTTGGCGTTGTTCAAAGGCTGTCAACTCGTGTCCTTATGATTCTCTGTTTCTTATTTGTCATTTTTATCTGATGCCTTTCCTTATTTTTTTTATTTTTTTGGCTTCCTTTTATTCACACTCTGCGAACCACTGGGACAGATACATATGCATTGTCAATGCGGCTTCTTTTTTTGTTTATTTTTTTTCTGATAGGTTTGTTATGGCCACTTCTTTTCTGTCGATATTTTGTGGAGAATTCCTGTTGAAAAAAAATCATTTGTATCGATCTATCTGCATATTTCCGTGAGTTTAGTTCATAGGCTCTTCATAATCTGTTTTAATTTGGATCATTGCAAGGGAATTTGTAATTCTGTCCGATATATCGTTCAACCAGTTCTTGTGGTCGCTTTGTGTGGGTTGCATTTAAAATAGCAGTAGATAAGCGATATTTTTTTTATCCTTTCCGTTACACATGGTTTTTTTGAATTGCCACCGGCAATATTAGCTAAGAGACCTTCTCAAAATCCAGGAATGTTACCTGACGTTTCGCTGGTTCCCAGACTAATGAGCTGGTGGCACCCCTCACCCCTTCACTGTCGAAACTCTAAATGTAGCCGTCTCTTTACTCCAATAGCTTCATGTCTCGCACCCTCGCCTGTGGAACTCCCTTCCTATTCAATTTTCCCTGAGAGCTATAATCTCCAGTTATTCAAATGTAATGTCAATCGACATCTCCAGTTGCCTTGATCTACTACACAAATTTGTAGAATTGTCTGAACACGAAGCAGATAGAGAAGTGAACATTATCTATCTATCTATCTATCTATCTATCTATCTATCTATCTGTCACACTCTTCATATGCATATGTCACGCTCTGAACATCTATCTATCTATGACACGATCCATATTCATTTATCCCACTCTGTGCATCTATCTATCTATCTATCTATCTATCTAGCTTTTTACATAAATTTATCACATTCTTCATATCACTCTGTCACGCTCTATAGGAGTAGGTAGGCTTTCCTACCGCCCGGTCAACACTCCTCTCCCTTCTCTTGGACATGAGTAGAGGCTTACGCCTTGTTTCTTGTTTAGGAAGGAGTTTCCGGTACTCTCTCTCTCTCTCTCTCTCTCTCTCTCTCACTGGCCTCTGTATCTCCGGTTGCCTTGATCTATCCACTACTCTTCTCCTCATCCTTTCTTCTATCACTCCTATCCAGTCTTGCTCCAAATTTTCTGTAACCCCTTGCGTCCTAGTGGTTTCCTGCCTTGCTTGGGGTGAAACGCTTAAAAAAAAATAAAAAATAACCTTCAATAACGGGGTGGATTAAGTCCTTCCCATTGGTTATCAAGAGAGTAGCTTCTTATCCTGACGATCAAATTTTTAATTTGTGTGCCACATTTTCTATTTTATTTGTAATTATTATCACTGGTCTTTTGTGTTTAAATCATTTCCTAAAGTTGATTTCCTATTCTTCAGACTCGGGGATAGTAAAGCGTCAGTTCGTGAATTTGGTGACATAGTGGTTGTGGGTTCAATTCCTGTGCAGGGTATTGTATACTGAGTGAAAACGGGCGAGCAATAACTGTGTAGCACATTAAATAAGAGCTAGACGTAGACAGAGTATCGAGGTTAAATACAGGCTTCACTTCAGAATTCCTTCTGGGTTACCCAGATCAATGTACGCCTGAGGAAGGCGGGAGAGCACAACGGTCGAAACGTTGGGATAACAGCAACAAAGACGAATATAGATAGTGTATAGGGATGGGAGGCACGGTGGAGTAATGGATAGCGGCTCGAATTGAGGAATAAGAGAGCCGAGTTCGATATCCGTTCGAATCCATTCCATTCACTTACATGCTGATACCCTTGGGAAATGTATGAATCCCCCAGCTATGGGCAAATAGGACAGACCGGGTTCTATAGCATTGCAAGGCAACTGGTCTACTGCAGAAAAAATGGCAACCTACTGCTTGAAAAAATGTAACTCGTCAGTCATGTATCGAAAGATACATGATCGCCTAAGCGTGTATCACGTATGGCCCATAACTGACTGATAGGAATGGCATAGTTTTCGTTTTAATTGAGATCAGTGTGGTAGGTTTGTCCAACATTTCGGCTTTATGATACCGACTCCCAGGAGGATTCGTCCCCGATCACCACAATCTAAAACTGTTCAAGTCTATAGTCAATCGTTTTCTCTCTCACATATTCCCATAACCTGTGCCTTTCCTTCTGTAACTCTCTACCTCGTGTGGCTCTTGGAACTTGTAAAGGGTGAACATCATTGTAAAAAATAGACTAAGAACTCACATCATGTTCTTAAATAGCTTGAAAAATGTTTTCTCAAATCAATGATTAAAATGTCTTCGAAGGAATGAACCGTAAAGGTCTTAAATAGACCCATTCTTCCTTGACCTCCACATTCTGCCGATTTGAAACCATAAAGAACATGGCCAAGTGTAACATAAACTATATTATTTGACAGCAAAATCTAAAATTGATATCTCATGTAACTCAAGAAAAAAATAATGTTATAATCAAAATGTTGTTTCACACTGTTTCAGACAAAAATGATCGGAATAAAGTACCCCATCATTTGCTAGAAAGTCCAATACATGTTTCTTGGTTTAAAATCCTATTTACCTAAAAATTGTTTTAATAGAAAGATTTTATAAACTTCAGCCTAAAGTAGCACTAGATGCTCGATCAAGGAATGCCGAATGTTTCCTTATGTGGAAACGACTAATATTATCATTACTCCGCAAAAAAGTAAAAAGAAATCTTTAATTTCTTTTTAGAGGCATTATGGGAGGCACGCTGGAGTAATGGATGGCAGCTTGGTTTAAGGGATCGGAGAGACGAGTTCGAATTCCATTAAGTCTGTTTTTGTTGATATTTTACTGAAATTAAGTCTTTTTTAAATGACTATTTGGAGCTAATTTTCTCGTAATGTTCGTAAATTTCCTTTACCAGTATAACATTTCAGGAATATAATCACCTAAACCACTTCAAAAAAAACAAAAAAACAACAACACCTGAACTCCTTAACCTTACTTTCTCCAACATCCGGGGTATTCATACCAACTTCTGCAGCGTGGAATTGTCCCGATTCGAAAAGTTTCCGGACATCCTAGCTCTCTGTGAAACTAATCTTAACTCTTCTTAAATCCGCTCTACTGATTTCTTGATTGCTGGCTACCTTAGAAAGGACTTTGAAGTTCATATGCATAGCATAGAGTTTATATCTGCAAATATCTCCGGCTGGCTAAGGCACTCTCTCTCTCTCTCTCTCTCTCTCTCTCTCTCTTTCTCTCTCTTGAATCTCCAGACCATTCACACATGTGTCTCCGTCTCTCTCTATTTAACTCTTTTCTTTCTCTACTGTTACCCTTGATCTCAAGACTATTGCATGCTAGATTGTATTTCCTATAATATAGACAAGGCCACCTCCTTACACCCGTCTGCAAATCTATTCGTGTTCGGCGACTTTAATGTCCACCATACCAGATGGCTTAAACACTATGTCACTGACCTCGCTGTCATCCAAACCCTTAACTTCTCAGTCTCTCACGCAATTGTGTGACTTCCCACGCGTTTCTCAGTAATCTTGACGGACACTCATTTTTCTCGATCTCCTTTTTTTCACTTCTATCTCTGACTCTTGTCGTACTACGCAGCTCTACCCTCTTGGCAACTCTGATCATCTGGCAGTATCTGTAAACATCTTCTTCTGCTCCCGCACCAGCTAAGAACCCACTACCAAGAGAATATCCTTCTGTTATCAAAAAACAGATTGAAATTTGTTCCGTGATTTCCTTCGTGACGACCCACGGTAAGAAGTTTTAATCATCCTGTTCAAAATTGCGCGTTTGAGGTCGCCTTCTGGGGGAAAGCCAGCATCGATGCTTTCATTCCAGCAGGGAAATACCAAGTTAAACCGCCCCCCGCCCATCTTTTTAGTTCTCACCTATATGCTCGGTCTCTAGCCCACAGAAAATCACTTCTTCCGGCTGTACCTGAGCGACACGTCTGATTGCAACAGACGTCTTTTTGGCTCTGCTCGTATCGAGTTGCAAGCGTATCTTCAATGATAGAATGAAAAAACGTTTTGTATCTCGCAAGTTTTGTTCTAGACATTATTGACGACTCTACAAGAGTGTGCTGAACAACAGCAAATCCTCAATCCCTCCTCTATTCAATCAAGTCGAAGTCCTGACATCTACAGCAGATAAGGTGGAATGCTTTGCTCGGAAATTCTTTTCCAACTCAACACACGATTCATATGGAGTACCTCACCTGATTCGCCTCCTAGAACTGAGGCTCTACTAAGTGATATGCGCATAACTCTGTCACTGGTCTCGGATATCCCCATAATGTCTCCCATAAGGCAAGTGGTGATGACGGGATAATAACCGTTTAATTATTTTATTGTTATTGTGATTAATACCGAAGTAGCTGCAATAATACTATTAATAAATGTGCTGATTTCCAAGGCTGAAACACCGTTTCGAATAAGATCGCCGAAGTTAAGCAACATCTAGTCTCGTCAGTAAATAGATGGGTAGCCGCTTGGGAGTAACAGGTGCGGTGAACTTTAATGTGCGGCTGGTGCAATATATAACGGCTTGTGATTGTTAATCAGAGAGCCGAGTTCCAATTCCAGTCAGGTTCGTTATATTTCCTTAAGCGCAAATACCCTTGGGAAAGGCATGAATCCACCTATTCTCCCCTGATATAGTTTAATTAGTAGCCATTGCATCATTATATAATTATAAAATCTTTAAAAACCTAAAAATATGCTTTGGCTTTATATAACCAAAAAAAAAGGTTGATAAGCCGTTAAAAGCAAATATCTAAATCTATTTTATGTGGACAATATAGAAGAGAATATGATATATATATATATATATATATATATATATATATATATATATATATATATATATATATATAAGTCTATTATATATTAAGTCAGAACTGTATAGAATGGGCAATAATTTGTGTTTTCCGGTAAATTTACATTCAGATTCAAAACATTGCCTTTCTTAGCTGCTGCTATTAAAATGTGCAATATTTAAATACATAAATAAATAAGTAAAAACAATCGTGCTAAACACAAAAACGTTATGGCGTTTAGGTTCAGTATTTAGATACACCAGGCGTCAGAAAATAAAGTTTAATAATAGTCTCTGCATTCTCATATTTCCTCTCTCTGTTAAATTGCAACCGACGTTTGTTTCGCAGGAGAGGATGTTTCCTCCGGTTTTTTACCGTTAAAAATTGACAAAATTTTACTCAAAACTTCGTAAACGTGTCCAATTGTGTATAAAGATTTTTACCATGTGGATATTCAATTTGAGAGGACTCCAGAAAAAAAGAAAAGCAGGAATTACTTGCCAGGGACATTGATCGTTATAACAATGATGTCTGTTGTCTGCAAGAATCCAAATCAAAAGGACTCGATATTAACATCGGAATTAGAGAGCAAAATTTAATAGGTTTGGAAACAGACAATAAATATTATGAAAAAAAAAGGTGTTGATATCAGTAACAAATTATGGAATAATAACATGCACTAGACGAACAATCATGCTGTACTCTTTGAAACAAAAGCATTAAAAGAACGACGAAAAAAATCCGTCTTTTCTCTTGAAGATATTGAAGAGCTTGGAAGATTTTCAACGCTTTCGGGAGAGAATTTGGAGTGAAATGATAAACGTGATTTACATATTTGATTAAAATTAGATTTCCGACATATTTGCATTATGACGTGAAGTCGAAACAGTTCTCGTAATGATTGCTTGAATTTCTGTCTCCTGTTTATCAATAAAACTATTCTTTCCACTATTTATTTTTGGACTATTTACTTCATTTTTGTTGTTGTCAAAGCAACGTTTCGGCCGTTGTGCCCTCTGGCCATCCACAGGTGTATATCAATCTGAGAAACCTACAGGGAATTCTGAACTGAACCCTTCATTTAAATTTATGTTTAATCTTGTTACTTCAATCCATGTGTCGAGCAGTGTGTACTTGAACTCAGTGGAAACGGTCGAGCAATTACTGAACAGTACTAAATACTTGGACTCACTGGAAACGGTCGAGCAATTACTGAACAGTACTAAATACTTGGACTCACTGGAAACGGTCGAGCAATTACTGAACAGTACTAAATACTTGGACTCACTGGAAACGGTCGAGACATTACTGAACAGTACTAAATACTTGGACTCACTGGAAACGGTCGAGACATTACTGAACAGTACTAAATACAAATGCGAACTATACGATATCCCTTGTCCATCTCGACGTTGTGTAATGGTTAGAAAGCTTGTCTTGCTAGATCAATTACGACTGAGTGGTGAGTTCGATCCTCACTGGGTGCCCCGCACTTTCGACCCTGTGCCACATCTAAGCCGGTCTTAGAAAATCACTATACGATATTCTTAGACTTCAGCAGTGGAACGAGAACAGTATACCTTCGTAGATTAAATCAACGTTTCAGTTCAGAATTCTCTGTAGGTTACCAGGATCAATATACACCTATCTCAACGTTTCAAGCTTGATGCGTGTAAGTATGGACATATGGGTTCTGTTAATATTTCGTTCTCTCACGTGGTACGACGTCATAGAACCGCATCACGAATTTATGACCTGAGTCTGCTATTCCTCGACCGTTATCGTCGCATAGCAAATTTCTATGTCAGCATAACAGAATATCATATTTGATGGTGAATATCTTTGTTTAAATGTCCATTCTGAAGATGGCACATGTCAGCCGAAAGCTTAGATCGAGGATCAGCATAATAAAAAATATCCAAACTTTGGAAAGTTTTTTTCTTTATTTTCTCCAAAATTAATGCAACTAAGTTTGGAACGGCTCGTGATCAAACATAATAGATATTCGTTGTCTGTTGTAATTAACAAAATATTTTTGAAGATATATATATATATATATATATATATATATATATATATATATATATATAGAGAGAGAGAGAGAGAGAGAGAGAGAGAGAGAGAAAGAGAGATGTGTGCGTGTGTGTATTGATATAATAGGAAAGAACTGTTAGATTGATGATACGAAGTTCTTTAGTATTCTTGTTTTTATTTAAAAAAAAAACAGTGCTCGATACAGAAGTAGAACCAAAATTATAATTATTTTTAAAATATATGATTCCATCGTGACACGGAAATTACAATGTTTCCAAACTGGTCACCCATATTCAAGTTTAATTTCAATATTAAACCTTAACTGTTGAATGACAGCTTCATCCTCAAGCGATGTTTGGAATAAGTAAGCAAAGAAATGTTTTACTCATTTACAGTTTTGAAATGAAGGTGTAATCTGGGGTTATTTTTCCATTATCAATGGGTCTCTGCTTTGATGAAAGTTATATGACAAGTTTTTAGAGTTGTGTAAGGTGGGGTTGGTTTATTTTGTCTAGCTACAAAGGCTAATTTTATCAGGCTCCGTTGTTTTGTTTTGTTGTTTTTTTAATTATTATCTTCTAAAACACTGCCTGATTAATGTTGTAATTACGGTCCTTTTGGGTGTTTATTTATTTGTTTTTTTGTTTTTTTTTTTGTTGCTGATTTCTTAAAGGGACGTTAAGATTATGACTGCGTTGTATTTTCAAACCTATTGTTTAATTGAATTTGTTAATAGATTTTATATGATATTTTCTAATTTTTATATGGTATTGTGGAAATTATTTTTTATCCATTTATAAAATGCTAATTATATAAGGCGAATATTTGGTGGTGTCTTCGAAAAACAGTTATTTCATTTCTTTGATTTAATAAATTTTCATTTTTTAGAAACTAGATAATGCGTAGTTTTTCATGTAGGCATAAAGGGCATGGGTCATACCAGGTTCTATATGTCTTTGTTCTATTTATTATTTTCCATGTTACTGTTGGTGTTTCATTTAATTCTTTTAAATGTCAAAAATATTTAGATAGGTATGTCTGATTTATGTTTCTAATATTATGGACGAATCTATGGTGTAGTCTCCACCTTATTTTAAATTCTTTTTTATGGATCCTATATATATCTTTTCAATATTTGGATTCTTAATGGATGAGATTGTGCATTGGTATACCACAGATTCTATGCAGCATTTATTATTCAGAGGTCATTTTTCAGGGTTTCTACGATTACATAATTTTTCACTATTTTTCTCTAATTCTAATTTAGGATCTTTATTTATTTGCTTTTGGCATGCGTGTTTTTTTTTTCTTTCTAGATTTTCAGTACAACTATAACTAAATGTTAGTGTGTTTTTATTAAATATCTTGCTAAGTTTGCTGTTAGTAGGAA